TCACTGGCCCTCATATGTGGGATCCGAACCGGGGCCCTCTGGAATCCCAAGCCAGTTCTTAACCATCGCGCCACTCGGCCGGCCCAGTCTTGCAGTTTTTTAGGGATGTGTTTCAGCTGTTCGATAAAAATGGGCATATTAAATAAGATGATTTCCACTACAACAGAAAACCCACTCCCATAGACTTGGGCGGCCATGAAAATCTTTTTCTCACCTAACAAGGAAGTGTCGTGTAGGCATCAAGATTGGTCACTCCCCTGGCTCAGGGTGGCCCTCAACGTCCAGGGCCTTTCTGTCGTTTTGCTTTGTCACCCTCTGCATGATGGCTGCTTACCGTCATCCCAGTGCCCCTCACAAGACGATGACAAGGATTCCTGGTGTCATACCTGCACATTACAACATCTGGAGTAAGAAACGGGCCTTTCTTCTTGTGTCTTCTTAGGACAAAGAAGTCTTTCCCAGAACTACCAGAGCCAATTTCCCTCCAGCTTCGTTAACCAGAACTGAGTCACAAGCGCTTTCCCAACCTTGGCAAGAGCAGGGGAATTGCCACTTTGGGCTTAGACCACTTGTCAACTACAAAAGACAAACATGCAGGAACTGGAAAAACAGTGAGTCTTCCTAAAACTGATCTGTTCTTAGATCAGAAAACTCAGTGTTGTTAAATTCTCCCCAAATTGATCTGTACATTCAAAGCAATTTCAAACAAAACCATAGCAGGCTTTAAAAAAAAAAAGGAAAAAAAGAAATTAACAAGTTGATTCTAAAATTTAAATGGAAAAGCAAAGTACCTAGAATACACTTGCCTATGAACAATACAGAGTTTAGGAGCATCTACCCACCATGCAGTCAAGAATCCACATATAAATTTTGACTCCCCAAAAACTTACTTGTCCCTTGGTATTCATGGGAGATTTGTTCCAGGACCCCCCTCAGATACCAAAATCCGTGGATGCTCAAGCTCCCTATGTAAAATGGCATAGATCAATGCGTACTGTCAGCCCTCCACACCATGGTCTCCCAACCATGGATTGAAACCTTGACCTGTACCTTGAATCATGTACAAAATTTAACTTGACTGGACCACAGACCTGAATGTAAAACCAAAAAATATACAATTTCTAGGAGAAAAATCTTTGCAACCTTAGGTTAGACAAATATTGCTTATTAGGACACAAAAAGTTCAAACCATATAATAAAAAGTGTATAATTTTGTTTTAAATATTTAAACCTTCTGCTCTTTTAATTCTTACAACTTAACAATTAAATGACAAGTAACCCAGTTTTTCAAAAGGCATAGGATGTGAATAGACATTTCTCCAAAGAAAACAAACAAATGGCCAAGAAGACATGAAAAGATGCTCATCCTCAGTAGTCATTAGGGAAATGCAAATTAAAACCACATGAAATACTACTTCAAACCCACTAGGAGAGCTAGAATCGAAAAGACAGACAATAACGAGTGTTGGAGATGATATGGAGAAGTTGGAGCTCTCAAACACTGTTGGTGGGAATGTAAAATGATGCAGCTGCTTTGAAAAACAGTTTGGCAGTTTCTCAAAAGGTTAAACATAGAATTGCTAGAGAATCCCCATGAAAATAGATGGGCAGGAGGTAGGGTTGTTGTGTCACTGGGAATGAGACAGGCAGTATACTCTTCAGGCATTGGTGACCCAGTGTCCCAGACTTCAAACCAAATATTTTACTTTTGATCAAATCTTCTGCACATATGTTGGAGTATAGTTTTTTCCTATGTAACAAAGTACATTCAATACAATGTCATTTCATGGTTTTTCACTGAAGACCCAGTGGCCAGTCTAACAACAAAAGGGACTGTAAGACAGATGGCAGTTTCTTGATTGTTTTTACATTTTAAAAGTAAAATACAGACTTAATTAGTTTTTGAATTAAAGAGAAACCTTCTTTTTTTAAAAAAAGAATTACTATATGACCTATCAATTTCATCCCAAGTTATATATTCAAAAGAAATGAAAACATCTGTCCACAAAAAAAAATGTGTACACAAAGGTTCAGAGCAGCATTATGCATAATAGCCAAAAAGTAGAAACCATCCAAATGTCCATTAACTGGTGAATAGATAAACAAAGTTTGGTATATTCATATCAAGAATGCTACTCAGCAATAAAAAGTAATAGTTATCCTATAGTAATACCCACTAACACACACAATTTGGTAAATCTCGAAAGCCTTATGCTAAGTGAAAGAAACCAGACACAAAAAGATACCTGGTATGTAATTCCATTTATATGATATCCTGGAAAAGACAACTGTAGAGGCAGAACTCTGATCATTGGCTGCCAAGAGTTAGGGGTGAGGGAACGAATGGCACAAAGCGTGGAAGGGAGCTTTTTTGTTTTGATGGAATTTTTCTATGTCTTGGTTGTGGTAGTGATTGTACAATGGTAAACATTTGTGAGAACTCAGAGAAATACATGCTTCAAGGGGTGATTTTTTTACTGTATGTAAATTATACTGCAATAAATCCATTTTTAAAAATCAACTACATCATTATTGAAACTTTTTTTTTTAATTTTGGGAGATTTCCCCAAAGAAGAAGGAAAGCCAGGTACATTTACTTCTTCAAAACTTACATTCACCATTTTCTAAAACACAATTAAGCATCTATGAACATCTCACACATCACCAGCTTGGTAAAAAATTTTTAGCAACAGATTAACTTACGTTTCTTGAGGAAGAAATTAGCTTTGCTAAGATTGTCTCTCCCTGTTCCTGCAACCTGGTCACACTTGTCTTAAGGTTGGCAGCCCGACTGCTAGTTGAGAGGATGTTTGGTTTCAAGGGCTTTACTTCCTTCAGAGGAGGTTACTGTGGGCAATAGTGGATGAAACCAGGAGAGACAAAATTAGATCCAATCTGCTCCTATGAGAGGTGGAATCTAAGCTCTGCCCACACTCCCTCTGATCTCTTTCCACTTCTCCCTGTTGTATGCTTCCTCGCCCAGCAACAAGCATCTGCTTCTCTTTGTTGGAGGACCACCATCAGGCTGCTTAAATCCACCTGCCTGCTATACTTGTAAACCAAATGATTCTGGAGAGAATTCACTCCCCCTGTAGGCAGCCCCTAAGTGGTGACACAGGCAGATACAGGAGTCTAATTACCTCAGCTCCTTTGCACCTATTGAAGACAATGCCAAGGTGTATTTTACATCAGTGCTTCCCACACTTTTGTGCTTATAGGACTTGGCCAAGTTCAAATGCAGATTCTTCTGCAGGAGGTCTTAGGCCAGCTCTAATAAGCTCCCAGGTGGGGCCAATGCTGCCGTCCACAGATCCCATTTTAAGCAGCAGAGGTCTATTTTCAGAACTCCCTACAGAAGAATCTAGCCAAAGACAATAACAAGAAGGCAGCTATACTTCTGCTCTACTGGAGCAAGAGTAAATACCCCCAGGGACAAACTGTGGCCAAGATAAGATGGAGAAGATGTGATTTCATAGGCAGGCTATAGAATGAACCATCTCCAGGAGCTCTAGAAGTGCCCCAGATCTAGGAATTCAGCTGGCATTCCTGTGGTGAGACATATGTGGGGGCCGAAAAGCCTTAGGAATTCCTGCCCCCACCCCCACCCCACTCCCACTACTGCAGGCAACGATCTGCAAACCTGCCTCTGAGCTGTGGGGACAGGGCGGTGCGGGGAGGACGCTGGGGGCCATGAACACTAAGTGAGGTTGTAAAAGATACTCCGTGCCTCACAGCCAGGGAGTCGAGCTAGAATTTAGACCATTTCAAAAATAGAAAAAGAATTCTGGTGGCAACTAGCAACGGATGATTGCTGGCAGCAAGACTGACTGGTGTGTCTTCAGGCTCTGTCAGGATACTGTTTTGTTAGAGCACATCGCAGAACACATAGGGGCCATTCGTCAAGCTAGTCCACATGACAGCTATCAATCTAACCCATAAGACAGCTCCAGGAAGCAATTACCTGATAAAGTGTCAAGGTTATGAAGCTGGAAAATGCCCTCTCTTCGTGCTTCCATGACACCCTTAAAAACTACTGCAAGAACCCTTATTTCTGCCCTTCGTTGTCATTTCCCAAACATTCACTGAATGCCAGTATGTGCCAGGCAATATTTTAGGCGCTGGGGATCCGAAGATAATCCACATAGAAAAGTTTTCACTTTTTATGTAAAAGAATTTATATAATAAGTGGCGAAGAGTGAAAAATTAAAAATAAACACACCAACAAATACATAAGAAATATATCAAATATCTGCTGTGGAGAGAATTCAAAGAGGGTGGAGTCACAGCACAGGATTAGGTAGCTACTTTGCAATGAATGGTGAGGGAGGACATCTTAGTCCTGCTGTAACAAAATACTAGGTGGCTTAGAAACAACAGAAACTTATTTCTCCCAGTTCTGGAGGCTGGGAAGTTTAAGATCAAGACGCTGGCAGATTCAGTATGTAGTAAGGGCTTCCTGGTTCATACATGGTCCTCTCTCTGTGACCTCACATGGCAGTAGGGGACAAGGGAGCTCTCTGAGGTCTCCTTTATAAGGACACTAATCCCATTAGTGAGGACTCTGCCCTCAGGATCTAATCACTTCCCAAAGGACCCACCTCCAAATACCACCACATTGGGGAATAGGTTTTAACATATGAATGGGGGTGGAGGGGGTGGAGACCAAACATTCAGTCTATAACATCAAGCCTCTCTGAAGAGGTGACATGAAAGCTGAGAATTGACTAACTTCAGCCAGGAAATAAGGAGGAGGTAGAGCATATGTGATTCAGGCAACAGGGAGCGCAAAGACCCTAAGGCATGAATGTAGTTGGCAATTTCAAGGTCAGCATGAACTGAAAGGTCAGTGTGGCTAAAACAGAGTGGACAAGGAGAAAAACTGTTTGAAAAGATATGGGAGAGAAGCCAGATCATGTTGGACTTTATAAGCTAGAGTAAAAAGTTTGGTTATAATTTGATTTCGTTTGATTTTTTCCCCCAACATAATAGCCAGTATTCAAAATGTGTCCGAATAATCCTAACCTCCTGGTGTTGACACCTATCTATAAGCCCCTCCCACATGAACCTGGGGCTGGCTTGCATAAACAATAAAGCAGAAGTGGTGTTTGGTGCATTACTTTTAAGGGTAGGTCATAAAGACATTGCAGCCTTTGTCTTTGGAACTGCTTTGGGGGAGCTAGCCATCATGTTGTAAGGACAACCAAGCAGCCTCATCGTGGCAAGATCTGTATGGAGAGAACAAACTTGTCAGCAGCAACTTTTCAAACACATGAGTGGTCTTCTAGCCCCAGAAAAGCCTTCAGACAACTGCAGCCCCAGGTAACATCTGACTGACGGACTGAGCTAGTACCACCCAACCAGGCTACTCCAAAACGATACATACTTTTTCACGAGCTGCTTAAAAGTAAGTTATCAGACACATCACCCCTAAAGACCTCAGCATGCGTCTCCCCAAAATAGGGGCCTTCTCCTACATAATCACAATCACATTACCACCTCCAAAAAATATAACAAGTGGACCAGCCAAGTGGCTCATTGGTTAAGAGTTGGCTTACTGACCACCGCACTGTATATCTGAAGCTGAGGTTGAATAATATTGTATGTCAACTATAATTACATATACATATAGTCACAGGATGTGGAGTAGAGTATAAGAATGGAGTCAATGGAATTGTAATAGGTAAGTATGATATTGGGGGTGAGATGGTAGTGGATGGGGGGAGGGGGGTTGTTACTTTGTGAGGACTGAAAAGGATAACTTGCATTGTTTTGCACACCTGAAACTAATAATAATAAAAAATAAATTAATTTTTTTAAAAAAAGAGTTGGCTTAGAGTTGGCTTGAGAGCACGAGCTCTGAGCAGCAGGGCCACTGGTTCGGATCCCACATGGTCCAGCAACACTGCCCTCTACAGCTAAGATGGTGAACAACAACTCTCAACCTGGAGCTGGGCTACCATGAGTCACCAGCAACAGTGTAGGCTGCAGTGGGCTGCCGTGAGCTACTGTGAGTGGCCGTCCAAGGGCCGGCAACTGGTCTGCCTCAGCCGGGAAGAGCGCAATGATAATACCAACATGGGCCAGTGAAGCGACGTCCTCCACAACTAGACTGAAGAACAAAAGGACAGCAACTTGTCTGTTCCCATTCCCTGATTCACCAATGCTGTTCCCCTCCCCCAATTCCCCAATAAAATCTTTTAAAAAAAAAATGACATTTGTAAAGAATATAATGATAAGAAAAAGAAAAAGAAAAGCTCTGTTTGGGTTATCCTTTTTGAGCACTAATGACTCAGTCTGAACCTCTCAACAAAAACCTATTCTCCAATTAGGGTTCCACACCTGCTTTCCCTCTGTCTGACCTGGGTGGGTACAGTGAGGAATCCAGAGAAAGCTCTGAAAATACCTCTTACTAATAAGCAAAAATAATTTGTGTTATTTTTTTCTAGTAAATGATGTTCAGTACAGTTGTCACATTTAGATTCATCTAGTCTTACTAATTGTTAAAAGACCAACAGCTAACAGGCTGTGAAAAGCATTAAGAAGCGTATCATTTCCTGATAACTTTATCTTTAGTATAAATGTAACTAATGGCCCTCATCCATTTTTGTACTTTAAACAAAGAAGTCTAAAACGAAACAAAGAAAATCTCTTTTGAAACCAGTGAAACAGTACTCAGCCACAGCCATATTCTGTGCAAGTACAAACATCAAACACATTTTACTCGCTTTATCCTAATGGCAATGAATCAACTTTCCAAAGATTGTCGATTATTACAAGTCTATCTTGGGTCATATAGTATTGTTTGCTTTCCTTGGTTCTTATTAAAATAACCCTAAAGAAAAAAATTAGTGTCTATGTCCACTTATTGACTCATTTCGAATACGGACACCAAAGCGATTTCCTACTTTCAAAACAAATCTCTCTGCCTAGCTGGGAAACCTTATCTTCTCTTAGTCATACACAAGTGATGAGTAAGATACTTATCAGTAAATAATACACTTTTTGCCCCACAGGCTCTTACCTGTATCTTCTAAAGAATTTGCCAAGCACTTGAACTGCTGGTACTGGTTAGGAATATGAAACTGTGACTTCTATATTTCACACAATAAGTTTCTTTCCCCCCAAAGCAATTACTCAAAAACTCTAAGAACCAATAAGATGGTTGTTAGGCCACATAAAAGGGAGAGCGGGGAGGAACGGCAGGTGTGCCGCTCAAGGCACAGTACCAGGGGGCTAGACACAGGTTACATGGGCCGTGCTATCCAGAGCTCCCAGGGCCAGATAGCCTTCTTGGAGCAGACAGACAATTTCCTACAGAGGGCTAGTGAGAGAAGTAAAGAAAAGACCTTTTGGAAAATGATCAAATGACCTCTATTGTCATCCCACCCTGATATAACATCAGAAAAACAAAGCTGTTAAGTGCCATGCAATAGAAAAAATGACTGTGCAAAGCCATCAATTTAGTCTCAAAGCACAGTGGAATCAAATGGCACTGCCATCAATGTCCAAACCAAAATCAATCCAGGGTGTGCCAGATAGTTTATTTGGACCCTTGTTGTGTATGGAGGGCCAGAAAGCAATTATGCAGGAAAGAGCTAAAGAATAGGAAGTGGAGAAAACCTCCCTTTTAAAGCTCCTCCCTTGTGGGTCATAATTTGGCTGTGTCATGGCTCCTAAAGAAGGAGGGAATGCAATTTCAGGACCACACCCGTGGCGGATTGTATTTTCCAAAGATGGAATACCGTCCATCCCACCTGCTCTTCTATAATGTGACTTGGCCACTCCTGCCATTAAAAGGTGGGGCCCATGTGCCCCCTCCCTCTCAGTCTGAGAGGGCTTGTGG